CATACATACATTAAACATGCATACATACATACATTAAACATGCATACATACATACATTAAACATGCATACATACATACATTGAACATGCATACATACATACATTAAACATGCATACATACATACATTAAACATACATACATTAAACATACTTACATACATTAAACATACATACATACATTAAACATACATACATACATTAAACTACTACAGTATTTACTACTTGTACTACTATTTCTACTTTTGGGCGCAGGCCCAGGTTAGAAATGTTTGCTTTATCTTGATTAAAATATTTTATGAAAAGTGATGTGTGAGTAGGGCTGGATGATATGGGCCAAAAATAATATCTCAATATTTTCAGCTAAATGGTGATATGATGTATATGAATATATTTTTCCTCTCGTATAGTAAAAATAAAAAGACACTTCTGAGTCAAAGCTACAATTCCCCAATGTCATACAAGCATTTTTATTAACACTACTGTAGATGAACATAAGAAAAGGCTAAAAAATAAACTGTTAACTATTAAATAATAATTCTTGAATAAAATCAAATGACATTATTTTCCTGCATAACTTTAAAGACTCACAGCTGTGTGCGGTAGTTAAAATTCAAACAAACTACAGAGCAAACATTCAAAAGGCTAACTTGCTCTTTACAAAGATTAAATAAATTAAATATTGCACTCACCAGATGAAGTGTGAACAAACAGACTTATTCAGATGCACATCCTTAACGACGTTAGGCCCATTGTCAGTAGTTGTAGTAACAAATCCTGTCGGGTTGATATTATAGACCACTGCTTTAGTAATGTCACACCACCTCATGTTTACTCTCCTAAGGCACAGCACGGTGTGAGTTTTATTTTGGGGGGGGGGGGGGGGTCAGGGCGACAGACTTCATTTCTTCTTCATCCTGCCGCTGCCTGCAAGTATTCCAGGTTAGCGGTGGAGGGGAGGTGGGCAGTAAGGTGGAAAGACAAACTGGCAGCTCTACAGTTATTTATGGTAAATGGACTGTACTTATATATCAGCTTTCTATCTTATCAAGACACTCAAAGTGCTTTACAACACAGTCTGTGCCTCATTTACCCATTCATACAGCACTCTACTAGATCTATACAAAGATTAATCAGAGCTTTATCACATTCATACACTGATGGGACACACATCAGAGGCAATGAGGAGTTCAGTGTCTTGCCCAGAGACACTTCAGCATGTGAGTGCTGGTGGAGTCAAATCTCCATCTCTTGCACTGGAAGACGACTGCTCTAACCACTCAGTCACAGCCACCTAAACGAACAGGTGTTTCGCATAAATTTGACGTAAGCTGATGAAAATGTGATCAGAAGAAAAGAAGTTTTTTTGGTAAAGAGTTGACGATTGGACACGGGTGACTCGAATAAAACGACACAACAGATCTTCCAGTTCCCAAATGTAAGAAGAAGGTGAAGAAGGACGTGGTTGGGATGGGTGATGTGGATGATCAGGCAGTGGAGATGGGAGGTATCGACAGCTGGCGGTTAGCTGACCTTCAAAACTACAACAAACGTATCAACACACAGGAGGAAGAAAAAGAAGAGGGCTTTGTCAACACACGTAGAAGATGACCAAGATGACCTCGTCAACGGAGACACAGATCAGACCGACGGAGAAGAAGTGATAAAACCCAAGACGAAGTCTTCTATGATGCATTATATTTATAACGCACCATAGACTAAATCAGTATAAACAATGTTGTCTCATCTTTTGAAAATGTGTTTCTTCAAGGAATGAAAGCCTTTGTCTCTGTTTGAAATCAATAAAAAATTAACTGTGGCCTAAAAATAACTCAGTTGTACAATAAAAATGTTAAACATTATTCTGAGATTTTACTGATGAAGCAAAGAGCTCAAAATCAATTCACCTTCAAAACGTTGTCAGTTCCTTACAGAGCAGGCTGGCAGCTTGTTTCAACCTGAGGTGTGTGTGAAGCTAAAGGAAGCGTGTCTGTGCTTCCAGGTGACCGAGGACTTGTTTGACTACGCTAAGCTGATCTCAGTGGGACCTGAAGTTGTGATGCAGGCAGCAGACTTGCTCATGGCAGACTTCAGGATGCTCAGCTGTCAGGACATCAAATGGGCCCTAAACGCCCTGAAGGGACACTATGCAATCACACGCAAGGTACGTGTGGTTCTGTAGCATAAGAAATCTGAGGAATTTCTTCCTCTTGTTGTCTCTTTTCCATCCCTTTCTTCCCTGGTTCTTGTTTAGGCCTTATGTGGAGCTCTGAAGAAGTGGCAAGAATCAAGTGACGCATCAGGAAAGAGACGGCGGAGCAGGACCTCCTCGGAGCGTTGCTACATTGATTTTCACTTTGAGCATGGTGAGTAAACTTTTTTTTTACTCTTTTATCTGTTCTCATTTTTATTTACTGTTTTTCTTAGCATGAGTTTTTTTTTCCCCGTTCCCCTTTAATTTAAAAATACCCGGCTGACATTCTTTACTCCACCGGCTGAGTTTGAACTTCCCAGAGAGCTAAAAGAAACATCTTCTCTTCTCAATCTCCTCTGTGTCCACCAGGTTCAGTGCAGCTGAACAGAAGGATGTATTTTTTAGAGAACGACCGTCGTTACTGCAGGACGTACAGCAACCTCGAAGCGTCTGTGCAGAAGGAGCTTTCGTTTTATCAGCAGAAAGCCAAGGAATGGGCGGAGGTACACGCGTACTCTTCACCTTCTGTTTTCTATCAGTTGTTTTAAATTAGCTCCCACACACTCAGTGCAGCGTCTGTTCTCTCATGCAAGGTTATATTTTAATTTAAAAAACTACTGATTAGCTACTAAAGGACGTTTTGCTGTCTGCTCTTTCTCTCCCCAGCACGAGGACTTCCTCCTTGCTCTGCAGGTGAATGAAGATGAATACAAGAAGGTAGGAGCATCAAATGGTTCAGTCGCACCAACGTAAGCTTTGCAGTCATTTACATGTTACTCAGCTGAACCTTGCAAAGCCTCGTTTGACTAAACTGTGTCTGTTGGCTTTAAAGTGGTTTTCCTGCATTTATCTTCAGTGACACAGTTACTTTTGAATAAACACTTCATGTTCAAGTTACAGTGGCTGTACATGCTTGGACACTGCATTTCATTTATTTTTGTTGCTTTAAAAGTGAGCAAAATGATGACTTGATGTCTAAAGGCTGATTTACAGGTGCTGGTCATAAATGAGAATATCATAAAAAAGTTGATTTATGTCAGTAATTCCATTCAAAAAGTGAAACTTGTATATTAGATTCATTCAGTACACACAGACTGATATATTTCAAATGTTTATTTATTTTAATGTTGATGATTATAACTGACAACTAATGAAAACCCCAATTTCAGTATCTCAGAAAATTAGAATATTCCTTAAGACCAATAAAAAAATAAAGGATTTTTAGAAATGTTGGCCAACTGCAAAGTATGAGCATGTACAGCACTCATTAGTTAGTTGCGGCTCCTTTTGCCTAGATTACTGCAGAAATGCAGCGTGACATGGAGTCGATCAGTCTGTGGCACTGCTCAGGTGTTATGAGAGCCCACGTTGCTCTGATAGCGGCCTTCAGCTTTTCTGAATTGTTGGGTCTGGTGTATCACATCTTCCTCTTCACAATACCTCATAGATTTTCTGTGGGGGTGAGTTTGCTGGCCAATTAATAACAGGGATACCATGGTCCTTAAACCAGGTGCTGGTAACTTTGGCACTGTGCGCAGGTGCCAAGTCCTGTTGGAAAATGAACTCTGCATCTCCATAAAGTTGGTCAGCAGCAGGAAGCATGACATGCTCTAAAACTTCCTGGTAGATGGCTGCGTTGACCTTGAACCTCAGAAAACACAGTGGACCAACGCCAGCAGATGACATGACACCCCAAACCATCACTGACTGTGGAAACTTGACACTGGACCTCAAGCAACATAGATTCTGTGCCGCTCCTCTCTTCCTCCAGACTCTGAGACCTTGATTTCCAAAGGAAATGCAAATTTTACTTTTATCAGGGAATATAACTTTGGACCACTCAGCAGCAGTCCAGTCCTTTTTGTTTTTAGCCAAGGTGAGATGCTTCTGACACTGTCTCTTGTTCAAGAGTGGCTTGATACAAGGAATGTGACAGCTGAAACCCATGTCTTGCATAGGTCTGTGCGTGGTGGTTCTCGAAGCACGGACTCCAGCTTTAGTCCACTCTTTGTGAATCTCCCCCACAGTTTGGAATGGGTTTTGTGTCACAAACCTCTCCAGGGTGCGGTTATCCCTATTGCTTGTACACTTTTTTTTTTCTACCACATCGTTTCCTTCTTCGTCTCTCTATTAATGTGTTTGGACACAGAGCTCTGTGAACCGCCAGCCTTTTAGCAATGACCTTTTGTGTCTTGCTCTCCTTGTGCAAGGTGTCAATGATCATTGTCTTTTGAACAACTGTCAAGTCAGCAGTCTTCCCCATGATTGTGTAGCCTATAGATCTAGACTGAGAGACCATTTAAAGACCTTTGCAGGTGTTTTGAGTTAATTGGCTGATTAGAGTGTGGCACCAAATGCCTTCAAGATTGAACCTTTTCACAATAATTTTCTGAGATACTGAATTTGGGGTTTTCATTAGTTGTCAGATATAATCATCAACATTAAAAGAAATAAACATTTGAAATATATCATTCTGTGTGTAATGAAGGAATATAATAAAAAAAGTTTCACTTTTTGAATGGAATTACTGAAATAAATCAACTTTTTCATGATATTCTAATTTTATGACCAGCACCTGTACATTATTGAAGACATTAAGAAATTCTCTCTCAATGATGATGCCCGCAGCGCCTCCTGGAAGAACCTTTTTCTCTCAGCAGTGTGCACCAAGTATCTTGTGATTGATCAGAGCGTGTTTATGCATAAAAGCGGTTGAACTAAGTTGATTTTATTTTGCTTCAACTGTTCTGCTGAGTAGCAGCTGGCCAGGGCTGTTAGAAAACACAGCCACCTTTACAACCGATCCAATGAAACTTATAAATATAATCAAAGAGCACATGAGAGGAGGCAGGGCAGAGACCAACGCAGATCTCTGTGGCTGTTGTCCAAGAGGAATTACTTCTCAGCTGGACAGCGAAGGAACACGTTGCGATCGTTCGTTATTCTGCAATATCTGACGGACAAGGTGGCAGTTGCTTTGTGACAAAGTTGCAAATTAGCGCTTCTCCAGCTCCTCCTCTTCCTCTTCTAAGATCTTCTCTTCCTCCATCATCAACTAAAATTAAACATTTGTCTCTTCTGTGGCTGTGTTATTGTTTCTGTTTGTCCCCAGCAGTTTCTCTTTGAGTATAAAATGTGCAGAAAGCAAAGCCATAACCCCGTGAGCGAGAACAGATACCTTACATTTCCTTAAAGTATGAAGTAAGTTAAGTGGTGTGAAGTTTAAGAAGCTGCATTTTCCTTAGATTATTGACAAAGTTGCAATTTCAAAGTGTCGAGGTAACGCCTGAAAACAAATATCTATGTCCTTCCTATGTCTATCCTAATTGATAACGAAGGTTTTTTTATAGCTCTCAATCCATTAAATTCTGCTTTGGGAGATTTTCTCTCTCTCACAAAAATCATCAAGTTCTGTGAGGTTTTGTAGTTATCTTGCAGAAAGATGCACCAATATGCATTTTTCTAGACCAGCTCTGATTTCCAGTTTTTCTAAAACTCAAACTTTGTCTGAGTTTATTATAAAAAGTTTATTGTGGGGAAAATATTGATTTATGACATTAGTTTTTGTTTTGGTCACTAATTTAATCACTGAAACTAAATACTTGAATAAAACCTTCTCTAAACATGTCCTGATGCTGCTCAATAATCCAGGTAGATGAATCTAACAGATTCTTCTTTATTGAACCGTTTCATCTTTTGTCCAAAAGACTTCTTCAGTCTGAGGAGCTGCAACAAACTCGGTCTTATAAATAGCACCTTCTCATAGTGGATCAACCAGTCTGCTGCTGACCTGACATGCAGTTTGCTTTATGTCCTCTAAACAACTTTATATAATTAAAATACTTGGCTAAAGAGTAAATATTAACTTTGCTGATCGGTAACATGCCTGTTTGTTTTCCCAGGACGGTCAGCTGATCGAGTGTGGCTGCTGCTACGGGGAGTTTGCGTTCGAGAAGATGACGCAGTGTTCAGACGGACACCTGTTCTGTAAAGAGTGCCTGGTCAAATACGCTCAGGAGGCAGTGTTCGGCTCTGGAAAGGTACGGACAGAGTGCGTTGCAGCTGAAGTCCACATCCATCAGATTTAAAGAACCATGTCATGTCCTGTTAAATACTGTATTTTCTGCCGTACACGTCACTCCACCCTATATGTCGCATCAGTCCATATTTAATAAAGTGAAAAAACCATAAATATGTTGCTTCACCGTATACGTCACATCTATTACGCGTCACCTCTGACGACTCGGAAATCTGTGACGATGTTGTACCAAAAACCGATGGGCTGCCAAATGGCGGCTGCGGGAGCACGCATGGGAGGACTTTAACAAGAATTTAACTAGATTAACACTTAAAAACAATTATATGTTTGCTCGAAATTATTGTAAATGTGTGTCTCAGTCTAACTTTTGCTTAATAAATGGACTTTAATGGTCAAATCAGCTGCATTTAAAAAATAGTTTTGGTGCTCCGTGAACGTTCAGAGGAAAAAGGGAAGAGGAACGCGGCTCGTTTCTCTGAAATTTAACAAGAAAAGCACCTAAACAATTAGCAAAGGTGTGTCTCACTCTAACATTTGCTTAATAAATGCACTTTAATGGTCAAATCAGCTGCATTTTGCTGTTTTCCAAGTAGAGAGCAGAATGAAGGTGGGGAGATTATGGCAGGCCGATTGAGTCGTTAAAACCTGGTCTTCACCAGGTCTTCATCATTCTCAGTCATCCAGGACATGGTAAATTCTAAAAAGTTCAAGACAAAAACAATAAAGTATAAAGTATTGTATAATAAATAAAGTCCAGTTGTTTTTGTCTTGAACTTTTTTGAATTTGTCATTATAGCCACGTTTACTTATTACATTATACAACAGCATCCCATACAACTATTACTACTCTGCTGTCAAGTGGCTGAAAGTGGTACTGCTGGGTTTTTTTCAGTCAGAATGAATGAAAAGTCATATATCTCATCCAAAAAATGGTTTATAAATATGTGGAAAAAATCCATAAATATGTCGCTTCGGCCTATAAGTTGCAGGCATGTAAATTATGCAAAAAATTGCGACATATACGCTGAAAAATACAGTAAACAATACTGGCTCAGTTGTGGTTACAGTCTGAGGCACAGTTTGTAAATGATTGGGCTTGTAAGGAGCGGCACCTCTAGAACCATCACCAGGTGTCATGAGATAGGATGGTGAAGGTTACAGGAGCTTCTGACAGTCGGCCAAAATGCTGAACGAAGATCACCAGAAGATGTCTCGTAGATACAACGGACCTGGTTTGACAGGGACCACATTGTAGGTTTACCTGTTTTTTTTTTGAGCAGTTGTCTGGCAGGTGGGGGAGAGGTGTCCCAGCGGTCCCATGTTAGAACCATTGAGTTCATGAAGAAGTCCAGACAAGTTGTGAATGTTTCCAGCCACCCAAGAAGTGTGTAAAGCGCACAGTACAACTTCAGACACAGGTACTGGACTCGGACCTGGTCTCATCTGGCTCTGAGAGTCAGTAACTGGCAGCAGCCAGAATATGGGGTCATTTGTGTCGGCTGCCATTAATAGCAGACCAGAGATGGCTATGTTTGGAGTGGTGCTGTAACTGGGAGGCACGGGCTGATGACAGGTCTCGGCTCAGCATCACTGGGATTGACCGTTGTAGCTCCACTGGTAACTCTGGTATCATTATGTGAGGAGCCATTGAGACCTTGACAGGAACAGCATCACTGACATCCTGCATCGACACATCTTACCCCCCCCAAGACCACTCCCTGGCACAATCTTTAACAAGACAGCTGTGTTTGTGTGTGTTGAAGTCCTTCCATGTCCAGCCAAGTATCCAGTCTTTCCCCAGTCAGACATGTTGGGTTCAGTTTGGACTTGAACTCATGGCTGATCTGTCTGATCTCAAAGACCTGCTGCAGGACTCTGCTCTGACTGAATCACTGGTTGGACTCGGGCCTGGGTCGCACTGCTGACACGAGACCAGCAGTGTGTCCGTGTTCATCTGATCTGCTGTTGCAGTGCTGTCACATGACCTCTCCGTGTGTGTAATGGTTGTTCTGGTTGTCTGAACGATGAAGATGGGCACCTTGATTGTAAATTCAGTCTAAGTGTTTTATTTGTGGATCTCCTTCAAGTCGTGTGTGTCGATGTTGCAGTTGGAGCTGAGCTGCATGGAGGCGGGCTGTCCGTGCTCCTATCCCATGTGTGAGCTGGATAAGGTCCTTCCAGAGAACATCCTGTGTAAATACAACGAGAGGCAAGCGGAGGAGGCGGTGGCCGCCACCTGCGCTGATGAGCTCGTGAGGTGAGTGTTTGGCCCTATCAGAACTGGCTACACATGTTGCTGTCAGCTCCTCTGAGTTTCCTGTTTCCCATGAACTCATGGAGCTGCTTGAAATATTTCTCTTGTCTTCATTTCTTAACCTGTTCCCCCCCCCCCCCCCCATGTGTCCGTTTTGTAACTTCCCAGCCTTGTTGGACAAGAACGTGTCTTTGTTCAGCTGTCCCAACCCTCGGTGCCGCAAGGTTGGTGATGATTCTCTCCACACCAGATGTTTGTTTTCTTCGTCCACAGATTATATTTGTGAAAGGAAAAGAAAAAAAAAAGCTGAATCTAAAGAGAGTTGTAAATGATTCAGTGCATCGTGACAGAAGAGACTCGGTGCTTAGAGTCTGATCGACACGTGTGAGAGATGGAGGGTTGATGAGATGTTAATGTTTTTTATTTTTTAAAGATGATAAACCTTTCTGGCGAGGTCGCCCCTCTGCGTTTATCTCTGAGTCTCCTCCTTCTGTCGGAGGAATGCAGGGGGAGTCGTTGCTCTCTGTCTACCACAGCCGATACACACATTCCAGTCCAAACGCTTCATTTTTATGACGAAGAGTACAAACACACAGAAATCATAGTTCACTCAGTTTTACTCCATAAACATTGAACTGCTGCTCCACTCCTGATCTAACGTCTGATCTGACACACTCAGTCTCATCTTTTGTGTGTGTGTGTTTGTGTGTGCGCTCCAACATGAATGTGTGCTTTTGCCTCTTGGCACCATGACGTAAAGTTAAATCTTTCATTAAAGGCAGATGAGGCGTTTCAATCATTTTATATACACTAAGCACTAATAGTATAAAAACTATAAAAACAATACTCCAAAAAGTAGCACGAACATGAGTCTGTGTGAGCAGAGGGGCACGCATGAACACAGCAACATGAAACAGATCAGCAGCAACATGAAACAGATCAGCAGCAACATGATGTGATGTTTTTCACAGTGATTATTTTGGTTAGAGATTCATGAGTTTATCAGCCTCAGGGTAGAAGCTGTTCCTCAGTCTAGTGGTTCTACACTTAATGCTCCTCAACCTCCTTCCTGAGGGGAGCGGGGCAAAAAGTGTGTGTGCTGGGTGAGTGGGGTCCTTCATGATGCAGGTGGCCCTCTTCCTGCATCTGGAGGTGTAGATGTCTGTGATGGTGGGGAGACTGACTCCAACATCTTCTGTGCAGCCTTCACCACTCTCTGCAAAGCTTTTCTTTCTGCAGCAGTGCAGCCTCCATGCCACATGTTGGTGCTGGAGCACAGGATGCTCTCCACTGCACACCTGTAGAAGGAGGTGAGGACTGAGCTTCCCAGACCAGCTCGTCTCAGCCGTCTGAAGAAGTAGAGTCTCTGATGAGCTTTCTTGATCAGGCTGGTGGTGTTGTTGCTCCAGCTGAGGTTGTCATTCAGGTGCACACCCAAATACTTGTAGCTGGAGACCACTTCCACTGCAGATCCTTTACAGAACTCTTAATAAAAAAAACTAATTGATGTATTTTAGTGCTGATATCGGTAAAACATTACAAAAATCTTAATTTCCCAATCTTTACATGTTCCAGCTGTTTTCAAAATGTTTGGCTTTCTTTAAATTAATATAAAAAATAATTTCTCTCTTACTCAAAGGTCAACAAAGTCCATGCTCAATAATCCAGGTATACAATCCAACATTTTTCAGTCAGGTCATCTGGACAGTTTCTATTTTTGTGCTGAAACGTTTCGCCTTCGGTCCAGAAGGCTTCATCAGTCAAGGAAACACACAACAAAACTGATTCTTCCCCCAACAGCTTACTCCAAAGTGGAACAAACCAGTTATGTTGGTGCTAAGATGGTGTCTTTGACCATGACCTGACTGACAAATGTTGGATTGTATACCTGGATTACTGAGCATGAAATTTGTTGTTTTCAACCAGTTTGACACGACTATCAACAAGGAAGAGGGCCGGCAATGGAGGAGGGGGCGTGACAAAGACACAATCTTAGCACCAACATAAGTGCTTTGTTCCACTTTGGAGTAAGCTGTTGGAGGAAGAATCAGTTTTGTTGTGCGTTTCCTTGACTGATGAAGCCTTCTGGATTGAAGGCGAAACGTTTCAGCACAAAAAAAAAAAAGAAACTGTCCAGATGACCTGACTGAAAAATGTTTGTTAGATCAACAGTTTTTTTTTAAGTGTTTTAGTGACAATAAACCATCAGAGACCAACATTACACATTTCTGTCCTTGGTAATTCTTCTGTCAGCTCATGATCTATGTGTCACTAAACTTGAAAGAGCCAACTCGACCGTATCACAATCATTTTTTCATTTTTCTTACTGATCCACCTTCTTCACACTGACGTCAGATGTTTGCTCTTTTAACCCTTTACCCTCTGGGTTTAGTTGCTGAAGCTTTCATTGAACAGTTGGTTTCTCTTGAGCTTGTCTTGCTTTGTGAGTCAAGCCGACTTTCTTTAGGCTGAACTGAAGTCAGTCAGTTTTTTAATGCCTGGATCCAGTCTGAGGAGGAAAGTGTTTCTGCATTAAGGTGTAATGATTCCTGGAAACCTGTAGGGGGAGCCAGAGGTTCACAATGACCTACAGGCCCCACATACACAGTCAGGAGTCTTTGGGTCTGATTATTTTCAGTAATTGGGATAATTTGAGATAAAATTGAGAGAATAAAAAGTGCTTTGTTTGTAATGTGTGTGTGTGTGTGTGTGTGTGTGTGTGTGAGTCGGGGTGTGTGGCGCTGTTTGATTATTCAGCGTGTTTCACCCCAACCCCACTCCCACCACCCCCAACCTGGAAGTCATAGCAGAATAATGAGACCCAGATGATGCAGAGGCTTTAACGTCCCTGGATGTTAGTTCCTGTCAGTCGTAAGTCATTCACCCCACAGCCCGCTCAGTCTGCCAGCAGGGAGGGGCTCCACATTATGTAACTAACACACTTATTAGGAGTCCTCCCCCTTCCATCCGCCTGCCGCCTCTAACTCATTGGCTGCCCACTCTGTCCACTTCCCTTTGTGCTGCTTCCTCACTGGTTGGAAACACGCCTGACTTCAATTCAAACGTGGCCCATTTGACCCACATTCTCCAGCATGGCTCAGTCTGATTTACACTGGTATGATAACCTTAATCAATAATTTCCTGCGTGATCAATAAAGTTCTGTCTTATCTTAATCTCGTCTAAATTTAGATAGAACAATGTTCATATGAATTCATTAAAAGGCTGTGCTGGAAACACCCAGTCAGAAGCTCTGCACAGCCGACTAAAGGAGGAAGAGGTCAGCAGAAACAAAGATGGATGAAAGCAGCTGCTTTTGGTCAAAATGAACCAGCTGTGGCCTTTCCACACCAACGCCCTGAAGTTTGTTCAGTTTAATATTTATAAAAACTCGTAGGCGGGTCGATCACGCCCTGTTGGAGGTCTGACTCCGACGTCACTGACTGTATTTTTAGCCGCTCTATAAGAACTCAGGTGTCTTCCTGATTCTCAGCATGGTGTCAAACAGGTCTCAGACCATCACGCAGGTCTCCTCCTGCTCTGTGACCAGCAGGGGGCGACATCACACCACTCTGCCTGGTCTGGGTTTGTCTGCTCCTCCTTCCAGATTCTCTTATAAATCTTTGCCTACAAATTAGTTTTTTTAAACTTTATTTGTCTTTAATGTTCCCTTTAGGTCATGGGAGTGTGCTCAGCATCTGAACTGCCTCAGATGCCAACAAAATGCTGCGTTCATTTCTGTCTCTCACACACACACAAGCAGTGATTTAAGGATCTGAGATAGATTCTTTCTGGTTCTGAACGTACGGGCTGCTCGTTGCAGCATCAGCTGTCATTTGCTGCACTCTTTAATATTAGATGAACGACTCAAATATTTATGGTGATGCCACTTAGCTAAGGGTTCGCGGGGAGGGAGGGGAGTCTTCTTTACCGGATGTCATTCGTCTGCACATTTTGACAAGGATGAAGGCGGTTTAAGGACAGAGATGCTGTTTCTAGGCAACCAAGCCGTCGGCAGCAGGCGCCTTCTCTGCAGTCAGTCACACGTTTGCAGCAGAAGCCGCACCTCGCTGCGTCTGTCCGTCCTGCCTCCCTGCAGCAGCGACAGCAGCAGCATACAGAGCAGCTCCCTCTGACTGCAGGGAGTCTGTGGAACATGTTTGACTGTGGATGAGAAAACGATTTGCTTTGTCAGCTCGTTTCTTCTCCATCCCTCTCAGTTTTCATCACCTTCTTGTCTTTGTGTGTTCAGGAGAGCTGCAGGAAGTGCCACGTCCAGTGGAAGCAGCATGTGGGGAAGACCTGCGAGCAGGTTCTGGAGAGGGACGAGATCCGCATGAGAGTGCTTTTGTAAGTGGGTCTAGCCTGAAGGTCACCGACTAGTTAGTTTAGGAACATTTTATGAAGAGTCTTTCCTATGAGCTTTAAAAACTGACCACTCAGCTGCTGGCAAAACAAAGAAACCAAACCCAAAGAATTGTGCTTCTAATGATCGACATCATTTTGTTTTGACCCATTTGGAGTCTTTGTTCACGTTTGGGACCCGCTACAGAAAAGGATGCTGGGTAAACATGTCAGTTTCTCGGACAACGCTCCAGGAAGTAGCCTGTCCGGTGGTCCAGCTGCTTCCCGTGGCCCAGCAGGCCCAGAAGTGGTACTTCCTGTTGACAGATTGTTACACTTCCTGGTCCTGAAAGAGACAGGAGGTAGTCTGTCAGATGGATCAGCGCTCTGATGACTTTAACAGAAGCGAACTAAAGAAATCACATCAACACTCGGCTTGAATGAAGAGATGCTGGTAGTTTTTACATTCAGGGCTTTTTGGATTATTGTCTTAAACTCATCCAGGTGGGGAATTAAAACACTACATACATTTCATCAAGCAGCTTAAAATGAAATTTTCTTGTTTTTAAATTTAAAAAAATCACAGAAATTTAAATATTTTTCTGATCGTTTGCATCTCTTTATTACCATTTAATTTCCTGTCACCTGCTGTTTGTTGTTGTTTAGTTTAAAATCTGTGTGTGGCATCAAAACATGCTCTATGTTTAAATAACCTTCATTTCCCGTGTCTCTTCCCGTGTTTCCTTCCTGTGTTGCAGCGAGGAGCGCATGACGGCGGCTCGGGTGAGGAAGTGCGTGAAGTGTGGGATGGGCCTGGTTAAATCGGAGGGCTGCAACCGAATGTCGTGCCGCTGCGGCAGCTTCATGTGCTACCTCTGCCGAGAGCCCATCACCGGCTACAACCACTTCTGCCAACACGCCCGCTCCCCCGGCGCGCCGTGCCGCCACTGCCGCAAGTGTTCGCTCTGGACCGACCCCACGGTGCGCCGCAACACAGAAACACTAGAAATTCTGTTCTTTGTTTATTTGTTGCTTTGTTGAAATTGTTCCACAAACGTCTCCTATTTCCTTAAAGATGGCAACATTACAGTAAGGAAAAATAAAAAGTGATACACCCCCCTACATCTGCCCCCCTCCCTCTCACAGACCTTTTCCCCTCAGCGCTGTCGCCCACAGTGACTTGGCTGCAGAGTTTCTGGCAGCCAGAAGCATCACTCGGATCCAAAGATGAGCTGGAGATCGACTCTGAATCTGTCTGAGAGACGGGCACACGACGCCTCTACGATTTTATCCTTGATAAACATCAAACACTGAGCCTGTGTTGGTTTGAAGCAGGAGTTCAACACAATGAGCTCATCCTGCTCTGGCTTGATTTGATGTACAGTAGTCCCTCAGTTATCGTGGAGGT